TGTGCGGGTGGCAGCCACTCGATGTGTTCCTTTCACATCGATGTTTCTCTCTCTCTCTGTTCCTCTCTCTCCCTCCCACTCTACCTGAACAAAAAAAAAAAAGAAAAAATGTCCTCGGGTGAGGATAAAAAAATAAATAAAAAGATTAATGAGATTTCTGTTGGCCAAAAAAATGGATTGTAGAGTTATACAGTCTTACAATTCCTCAACAGGTATATAGAAAATCTGTCTATCTATATATGCATTTATGGATGTATATTTGTGTGGATATATTCACTATGTACTAAGTTATAGACTAGGATATTAATAATTCTTGTTCTTAAATAGTTTACAGTTTCATGAGACATTTAAAAACTCACAACAGCTTGTAGTAATTATGAGGATAAAGTACTACAAATGCATGTATATGAAATAGATTATAAACTTTGGATTTCAAACAAGCGTTTGTGGATGAAAGATATTAAGGGAAAAAAGAACTAATAAAAATAGATTACACTAATGTAGATGTAATCAAATATACCAAATCTGGTTTGAGGGAAGACTAAAGAAAATATTTTTAAATGAATAGTATATATAGTAAGTAAATGGATAACAGTTTCTTTGTTATTAATGTATGGCCAAAGAAGAAAACTAGTGAGAGATAAAGCTGGAAATTTTAAGTTAGAATCAGATATTGGTTTTGATTCACACATTAGAAATTCTGTGTTCAATTTGTAAATGGTTCATAAATGGAGAATTTGTAAAAGAACTACAGCAAAATGCATTTTTCTTTTAAAAGGATGATGATGGCTCTAAAAACATGAATAAAATGAGAAAAAATAAAACTAAAAGTATTACAAGCTTTTAAAATTTAATCAGAAACATACTGACCAATACCAGAATTGTAAGAAGGAATCATATTATTTCAGAACACCATGACCTGAGGATTAATAGGTACATTTGGGGAAAAAATTAACTAATCATAACCTTAAAATTTTGAGCTGAAGTAATAGGATAAATTCTACTTTGTTAATTTTTATTCAACAAATATTTATAATGTTTATAAAATGTGTCAAACAATCTTATATTTCCTGGGAATACGATAGTGAACAAAACATACAAAAGCCCCATCCTTACAAAACTTGTATTCTAGTCAGGGATACTAAAACACAAGGAAAACATATGGAATGTTGGATGGTAATACATACTTGGAAAAAATAATAAGACAGAAAAGTAGAGTAAAAATAAAAAATGGTGAAATATTTAATATAGTGGCCAAGAAAAGTCTAATTAGTAGGCAAAACTTGGATAAGGGCTGAAGAAAGAGATAGAGAGTAGATCAGAAAGGATAGATTGGATGCAAAGTAGTGAAGTTGGTCTTACTTAGGAGTAAGACTCTTACTCCTGGGAGTATGGACTCTATTCATACAAATAGGTGTCAAGGTAGAGTATATGACACAAATACATGGAAGTAAGTGGAAATCCGAGGACGCTTTCTTCTGATTACTTCGTTTTTCTCAATTAAAAATATATCAAGGGTTTTAGTTATGTAGGATGAATAACTTCTGGAGAGCTAATATACAGCAGGGTGAGTATAGTTAATAATTCTGTATTATATGCCTGAAATTTGTTAAGAGAGTAGATCTGAAGAGTAATTACCATATACGCAAAATGAGAGGTGATGGGTATATTAATTAGATGTATTGTGGTAATTATTTATAATGTCTGTGTATATCAAAATCTCACACTCTACATTGTAAATATATAAAAACTTTTGTCAATTTTACTTCATTAAAGCTAAAAAATGTGAAGTTATCAGCAAAAATTATTAATGAAAAGGATGTGATATGGCATGACTGTATAAAAAAGGCACAGGAGAGGAAATGGCACACATACATGTGTACACAGTTACAAACATACATATGCATTAAATATGTTTTTATATGCACATGCATAAACACATGTAGAGATCAAGGAAGATAATACTTACATAATTGTATATGCATGCATATACACATTTATGTATACACATATGTATACATACACACAAATATATATTCTTATATTCATGTGTATTTATCTGTTTTATATATGCAACTTGATCATTTTGTTTCTCTAGTACCACTTTTAATTTTATTCTAAGGAAGTCAACAAAGGCCTTCAAATGAATAGTTTCTAAATACAGGACAAGGCGCCTATAGTGACTAATATTAGTATCCACACAACATCTATTCCCCTTTGTTCTTAACTGTTGAAAACTAATTTCATTTAAATTCGGGTACCAGAGGGTGAACCCAGAATAGTAGTATGCTCATAGAACCCCTCTGAGGTTTGAATCCTGATTGCTCAAAACTAATAGTTATCATTCCTTTTTTTTTTTCTTTGCCAGTAATCAGATTGAGGTGTCCATTTGACCCAATTTTGGCCAATAAAAATTTAGAAATCTGTTCAGAGAAGACATTTCTTTCCTTATGAAATAATCTTACAGGAAAAGAGTTTTTCTCCTTCCCACTTAGAACATTATCACATGAGAACATGATATTTAGAGATTCACATACAGCTTGCAACACGATATAAAGAGTGAAATGAATTTTAGAGTTCCAATACTGTCAAGCAACTAAATGAATACTAGAGTAGTTACCTCTTCTCAAGTTTTGGGAGGCAAAGGTCATAAAATAAAATGTTGTCGTTTAAATGAATCTAACTCAGGTTTTTCTTTTATGTTGAAACAAAATATCTTAACTGACATACTGCCTGTAGGATGCCTTCATAGAAAGGCAAAGGGACGAAGAAATGGAATCACCCCATCTTCAGATCCTTGGAAGTCTAAGTTACTCACCACAGCCTAGAAGACCTTCTCAATTCTGGAATGATCCATTTGCTTGTTTTGGAGAAGCATGCAACTGCTGAGTAAAAGAACATTCACAGAACAAGGAGATGAACAGGAAAACGAGAGAAACAAACCTTAGTTCAAAGTGAGGGTTACAAAAAAAAAAAAAAAATTGAGAAAAATGTAACCACTGTATTTACATTTAAACATTACAGTAATATTTTCACTAAATTTTAAGCTAAATGAAAATCTTAAAGGAAGTAGAAGAAACCAGGGGCTGAGATTCTCAATAATTCAGAATGCTAGTAACATTCCATTTAAAAATAAATATGTCATTTCCTGACCACTTCTTTATAATTATCAAATTTATACTAGCAGAATGTAGTAGCAGGTTTGTGATAAGTTACCTGTAGAGGCAGAAATGAAAACTGAGCCAGTCTTGAAAAAAGGACCCTCAAAAAAATATAGAAAGTTCCTGCTTTAAAGGTAGGGAAATGCAGTTTTAGCAAAGAAGTAAGAGAGTATGTGTAGTCACGCAGGGCCTGGAAAGTAGCCCTTGGGTTTGCTAGTATACAAATCCACAAGATTAGGGACTGCAAAGACAAATAGCTCCCTGAAGGCTATAAAGGTTATAGAGAGTTGAAGGCTACATCCAAGCTAAGAACTATTTATGAATGATGAGCAATGCTTTCGCAGAAGATACACTAATTGACAAAGAAGTAGGAAAATTGTTAATGCTCTTTTTTTGACAGCACAGCATCTGAAGAGCCGGTGAGCACAAATACAAGGAAAAGGTCAATGAAATTGCAGTGCAATCCACCAATCATGCAAATTGTCAGATTTGGAAAGACCAGTGTTGTAATTTTAAATTAAGTGCCAAGGAAAATTCTGAAATCAAAGTACTTGAGTGTGATCTATAAACTGGCATAAATGCAACGTGTAGATTCTATTACAAGAATCAGTATATTTTGAGGTTGTGCTATGTATATTATAAGCAACACAAATAACCTTGAAACCCTGAAAAATTTTATTTAAAGAAAGCTAATCAAATGGAAAGTTATAAAAATATCACAGCAGATCACATTTAGAACAAAATAAGATAACTACATACATGTAGATATATTTAAATTTGTTAATACACTTGAGGGACTAGTAAAGGAAGTAAGGTTCAACAAAGCAGATGAGTTTTAGTGGGAATTCTGAAGGCTTGTGGCTAGAACTGTATTTGGAGATAAACAGATGTATGGGCCTTAGTTTTGCAATACTGCCTCAACATGACTGTTGGCTAAAAACAAAATGCACAGAAACAAAAAACAAACGAACAAATAATATTGCTCCCACTTGAATGCAGCCTTAAAAAAAAAAAAAAATAGCCCAAATCAAATACCAGCTTTTATTCTTAGAAAATGCAAAAACAGGTTTCATATTGTTTCTTTCTAAAACAAACAAACAAACAAAAACACTCTTATGTGTGTTCTCTTTGGAAGAGTCTCTCTGGTAAGTGATTCTTTCATACTGTTAACCTGTTGAAAAATGAAACTATTAAGCTCACTCTTCTCTGATCCCACGACTCACTGTTCCTCTTGTGTTTGGGACTTTTTCTAGATACAGAATATCAGAATATCATAGGGCATTATTTGAGTAATCACCTTCCTCAGAAATGTTTACTGATGCCTTCTGTTTTGTATAATAACATCCGAGTTGGCAACCATATTCTTTATTGTGAGGCAAACCTCAGCACCAGCCTTTGCCATAGACCCAATGTCTGCTGTCCCTGAGTGGGCCCTGCCGCCTCAGATTATTACATTCAACATTCTCCATGTGCTTATTTCCCATTTCAGGAAATTTTTTTAGCTCTAATTTGTAAGCTGTAGTTTATTTGTGTGGGGTACTTATATCTGGCTTTGCCTTTTTAAGCTCTCTCACTTGAGGACATAAAGTTTTCCAAAGATCCCCAAGAGCTGGCTAGGTATTTCTACATAAACATATTTCGTAAAACTTACCAAAAGATGACTGCATTTACTACATTTAAGACTCAGACTTTTACATATTTCTCAGCAAATAATACCTTTGGACACTGTGATCTGGAAAAAAGAATATTCTGAAAGAGTCCAATCGGTTCCACAACCAGGTTGGTTTATCTCAGATTTCAGCCTTAATCTATCTCAGATTATTATTATTATTATTACTTTTTAATATGGAATGTTTTACCAATCTGTGTCATCCTTGAATAGGGGTCATGTTAATCTTCTCTGTGTCTTTCCAATTTCAGTATATGTGCTGACAAAGTGGGTACTATTCTCAGTGTCCGAGGAACTGGTTCTGGGAACTCCGTGGATATCAAAATCCGAGGGTGCCTGAGACTTGTACAAAAAAGATGTAGTGTTTGCATATAACTTATGCACATTCCTTACCCTGTATACTTTAAATCATCTCTAGATTACATATGATGTCTAATACTAGGTAAATGCTAGGTAAGTAGCTGTTATGCTGTATTGTTTCAGGATCAAAATATTTTTCAAGTATGTTCCATCCGTAGTTGGATTATCAATGTGGAATCTGCACAGGCAGAGGGCCAGCTGCATTCTATCTCCATACCATTTTGCCTCACAAGTAAGGACACATATGATATAAAATTATGTCTCCAGAATTAAAAAAAAGAAAAAAAAAAAAAAAACTAGGACAATGTTTCTTTGTTGAGTGTAATTTATCCACTTATTAATATATTATGTCTCTACCATGGGTTTCTCTAGAGCAGAGATAACTTTTTCTTTTAGTATCCCCATTCCATAATAGACAATGTGGTACTTAATAAAGACTGAAAAGATGTATATCTGTAGAGCACAATGATAATAATAATTTTGGGAAAAATTAAGTCAAATTCTTGTTAAAGTACTTAGATTCCATAGCTCTTTATGTTAAATAATTACTGGGTTTTGGTAAGAGATACGTATCAAAGAGTTGTGTTTTTTGTTGAATAACTGGCTTTTTAAAATTTAATTGTTAATATATGTTTGCTTAGATTCATAACTAAGAGAAAACAACTATCAGAATTTTACTTTTATATATTCAGTCCTTCCCTATGTATGCTATATACATGTGCATATACTTACATATTCTCTTTTATCATCTGTTTTTAACATAAAAATAAAATTTATTTTCTCTGTCGGTACCTCCACAACATAATTTGTAAACTTTGGTTTCAATAAGCCTTTTATGTTTTATGTGACCATTCCCATAATAAACCAATCCTTTATTAGTGTATGCTTAGGTTTCTTAACCTTTCCATTTTATGAATAAAGCGTTGTTGAATTGTATATAAATCAAACTTTGGCCACATTCTTAATCTCCTATTACAAATAGCACTAACAGTACTGTTGTGTAATGGTATGTATTAAAATAATTTTAATATATATTCCAAAATATATAAATACATGTTATCAATTTTAAAATTCCTAACAGTAGTTTATTTCTCTTATCTTCTCTTGTTCTTTATTTGTGTTCAGATATAGACATTTAATTTGATCAATTCTTCAGATTATTGCATACTACTCGCTATCAGTCATCAATTATAATTTGTTTTATTCTAATTTGTCTTATTTCCCCTTCAGCCACAATTTCCAATCCTACCCTCCTCTATACACACTTTGGAATGTGTTTGATGTATGTCTTTAGATATATATACAATTCTGAAATATATCATGTTCCTTTGTCTTTCATGCGTTTTTGATTTACAGAAATAATGTCCTACTCTGGAGCTCATTATATTTCTTATCTATTACTCTCAACAGTATGTTCTATAAGATCTATTGGTGCTTCTGAGAATACCCTGAGTTCATGCTTTTAATAGTGCATCCTTCAAATCTGCTTCTCTGGTTTCTTTAGTGATAGGAACCTGAAGTGTCTGCAACTATTTCTACCAGGAGAAGTGATGCATTAAATGTGCAAATATATTTTTAGCAGGCCAATGAAAACATTTTTTTCAAAGAGATGGTCATACTAAGTTAGTCTATAGGTGTGCTAGTAATTTGATTTTAATTTCTGCTGCGTCTTATGGCTGAAGTGGCAGAACGTCTTGCACAGAGCCTGGACTTGTTACACAGCTTTCTCTTGTCTTGGGTCACCATCAAAAATAGCAGCCTTTCAGGTCACCTGGTAAATGGCCCAGAGTAGCACACCCAGGTGAGAAATATGTGGCCTTCAAAATCCAAAGGGACTCACAAGACATTTTGCCCTTTTTTTTGTTGTTGCTATTATGAGGGGACAGATGCAACAATGTATCATTCACCTTAAAAAAGAGATCTCAAGATGCCTTTCACCATAGGGCCCCTGGAAACTTTACTAATGTGAAAATGTAAATGTCTTAATAATAAACCTAGAGTAGTTGCTACTTCTTTCTTATTAAATCTAAATAGCATAATATCTATATAATAAACTGGTGTAATGTCTTGGGAAAGAGAAAAGTGATCAAGGTCCTGTCTTGAGAAAGAAAAAGGTGATCAAGATCCCTACAGACTAAATTATAACATAAGTCTGGAGATAATGCTGAGGTAGGACAATGGAAGTATATTTCTTTCTTTTTTTTTTTTAAACCTCACCCAAGAACATTTTTGCATTTATCTTCATATAGAGCAGGAGGGAGAGAGGGAGGAAGAGAGAGAGAGAAACATTGATGTAAGAGAGACACATCCAGTGGCTGCCATCCACATGACCCCAATGGGGACTGGGGACAAACTGCAATGGAAGTATGTGCCCTTAGCGGGAACCAAACCCGGGACCCTCCGGTCCACAGACCGATGCTCTAATCGCTGAGCCAAACTGGCCAGGGCTATTTCTTAAGATCTTTATCACCAAGCATCAGAAAGAAAACATTTACAAGATCAATAGTTACATACTAGGGAATATGTTAATTTTCTGAAGCAATTAAATCACATCTGGAACTGCAGCTGCAACTTGAGTCACCATGTCGTTAATTGACAAAAATCCACTGTCCTTCTCCAAGATCCATTTGTTTTCTGCATAGGACAAGTAAGGCAAGTTAAATAGAGATGTTGTAGAAATCAGTACCCCTGAATATTTCAACTCCCTGAAGGTGCCAATAATCTCTGAAATACTTCCATAAATGTGATGTGACTTTTTTTTACTCTTAATGCCAGGTAGAGCCAGTCCTGGTGGTTTCCATGTGGCCTTTCATACCATAGTAGCTCTCATTCCACAAGTAAGGTAACCAATGTGTGAATTCTGTTGCTAAATAAGTCTATTCCAATTATACATTCTAGAACTAAAGAAAAAAACCACAGGATGGGCCCAGGAATCCATTAGCCCCAATGTAAGATGGACCTGAGTTAAAAGTCCATTGATAATTGGACCTCCATAAGCTCCTCTTCTGAGTAATATGCCATAGTGATATATGGATCTCCTGAAATTAGTATTACTTCAGAGCCAATGTCCAGTAACACCTCCCCCCACATACACACACACAAACCCTGAATATTTCCCTTCCCACAATCCATAGTAAACCTAGTAAAAAGTCATAACCCACTTTCAAGAAAGCTTGGAGAAAGATCAACAGTATCAATTTTTGGCAGTGTAGCTGAATTCTTTCTCAAGGGAAGTTGGCCTCCCATTCATTCAAAGATTTCTGATTATAAACTGGTTCACACCTGGGAATTGATGGAAAGGGCATGGTTTCCGATGAGAGGTCTGTAAATTCAACCTAGAACTCTTCTCTTACATTCCATAAATAAAGAATTTCATTGACTCCCTATCCCTTTCTCAAAGGTTCTGCTTACTGCTTTGATTTCACTGCTTATTATGGTTACCAAACCCAGCTTGAATTTGGTTGAGTTCTGTTCCTTGTCCCCTACCATCCTGGGATATTTTCCACTGATTTTCAGATACAGTGAGAAGGAGAGAGGGAGGGAGAAAGAGAGAAACATCAGTGTGACAGAGACACATTGATTGGTTGCCTTCTTTGCAACCCCGACCAGGGCTGGGGGTCGAACCACAACCCAGGTACATGCCCTTGACTGGAATTGAACCTAAGACTCTTTGTTCTAAGGACCAATGCTCCAACTGTTGAGCCAAACCAGCCAGGGCTAAAGATCTCTTTTCAATAGCAGCAGTTCCCACTGTAATTTATGGCCTAAAGAGGAGATATACTAAGGAACTCTTCCAAGATACTGGGGCTCACCTCACAAAGTATTTCACAAAATAATGTAGAAGATGTGTCTAGTGAACCCTCCTGAGGTGGGTAAGCAGTTCTAATGAGATAGTGCTCTTTAATTCAATATTCCTAAGTATTTCAATACCTTTCTCTATAGTCTGTCAAGAAAGTTTTTGCATTTCAGCTTCATGTAGTGTAGGCTAACCTTTGAACCATGTTTCAGGCAACCAGCCAAACAGAACACTTTCCAGTCTTTCAAGATGAAAAACAAAATCCAGAACTTGTGCTTAATTGACCCATATCAAGGAATTCAACTTCATGTTCCATTATTCTTCACTTTTTATATTTTTTTTGTCACTCATATTACCTAGATTTTTGTCTAAGTACTGGTGTGCAGTATTGCTCCTTGTAGGACACACATTTTACCTCACCCTTTATGGGACTTGAGTGTATTTATAGATCTAGAAGCAAAGAGAGATGATAAGGGTGGTCCTGAGAAGAATCAGCGATGTTTTGAAAGATCACTATCTCAAGGAAGGCCATTAGATTTTCTTCTGGCAAATCAGGGTTAACTTCCTTGGTAAGAAGTGGTAGAAGGACTGCTTCCCCTGGTAAATAAGGCTTAGCAGAGTTTAGGGGTTCAGTATTCACAGCATCACCAGGATCTTCCCATATGTCCTCATTCTATTTTTTTAGGATCTCATTTCTTTCCAATCAATGCCCTCACTTTAACAGAAGATATCCTGTTGAAATGGTAGAGAATTCAATTTATGTTATGACCCAGCCATTCACAGGATAAAATTGTATTTGTTGGTTTGTTTTTGAATCTCAGCCCAGTAGCTATAAGAGATAGGGTTTATTTCAGGGAAGACATAGAAGCTTTCAGGTAATTGACTCAGAGCTTGAGCTGGGAATTTGATGTGTTCATCTTTTGTTTCTCCTGATTTTTCCTGTGCAATTAGGAATAACCACTCACTTTTCATTATACTCATTAATTTAGCTAAAATGTTCTAAAAGATGGAATATACTGCATCTCACCATGGGATACCAATGTCCTCTTAATCAGGGGAAATAGAGTCATTTGTGCCTCTAAATATCATCAAATTAAAGAACTATTTTCCAAAAACCCA